AGGTGAAGGGAGGTCTGGCTATGGAGGAGGAAGGAGGAGGATGGTCTGGCTGTAGTCGAGGGAGGGGAGGATGGTTTGGCTGTAGTGGAGGGAGGGTGAGGGATGGTTCTGGCTGTAGTGGAGGGAGGGTGAGGGATGGTCTGGTTGTAGTGGAGGGAGGGTGAGGATGGTCTGGATGTAGTGGAGGGAGGGTGAGGATGGTTCTGGCTGTAGTGGAGGGAGGAGGAGGATGGTCTGGCTGTAGTGGAGGGAGGGTGAGGATGGTCTGGCTGTAGTGGAGGGTGAGGGGATGGTTCTGGCTGTAGTGGAGGGAGGGTGAGGATGGTCTGGATGTAGTGGAGGGAGGTGAGGGATGGTTCTGGCTGTAGTGGAGGGTGAGGATGGTTCTGGCTGTAGTGGAGGGAGGAGGAGGATGGATGGCTGGCTGTAGTGGAGGGAGGTGAGTGATGGTTCTGGCTGTAGTGGAGGGAGGGTGAGGATGGTCTGGTTGTAGTGGAGGGGAGGAGGAGGATGGTTCTGGCTGAGTGGGAGGGAGGTGAGGGATGGTTCTGGCTGTAGTGGAGGAGGGTAGGGATGGTCTGGATGTAGTGGAGGGAGGGTGAGGATGGTTCTGGCTGTAGTGGAGGGAAGGGTGAGGGATGGTTCTGGCTGTAGTGGAGGAGGAGGAGGATGGTCTGGCTGTAGTGGAGGGTGAGGATGGTCTGGATGTAGTGGAGGGAGGGTGAGGATGGTTCTGGCTGTAGTGGAGGGAGGAGGAGGATGGTCTGGTTGTAGTGGAGGGAGGGTAGGGATGGTTCTGGCTGTAGTGGAGGGAGGGTGAGGGATGGTTCTGGCTGTAGTGGAGGGAGGGGTGAGGGATGGTCTGGTTGTAGTGGAGGGAGGTGAGGGATGGTCTGTGGTTGTAGTGGAGGGAAGGGTGAGGATGGTCTGGATGTAGTGGAGGGAGGGTGAGGATGTCTGGATGTAGTGGAGGGGAGGATGGTCTTGTTGTAGTGGAGGGAAGGGTGAGGATGGTTCTGGCTGTAGTGGAGGGAGGGGTGAGGGATGGTTCTGGTTGTAGTGGAGGAGGAAGGGTGAGGATGGTCTGGATGTAGTGGAGGGAGGGTGAGGATGGTCTGGTTGTAGTGGAGGGAGGGTGAGGATGGTCTGGATGTAGTGGAGGGAGGGTGAGGATGGTCTGGATGTAGTGGAGGGAGGGGTGAGGATGGTCTGGATGTAGTGGAGGGAGGGTGTGGATGGTCTGGATGTAGTGGAGGGAGGGTGAGGGATGGTTCTGGCTGTAGTGGAGGGAAGGAGGATGGATGGATGTAGTGGAGGGAGGTGAGGATGGTCTGGCTGTAGTGGAGGGAAGGGTGAGGGATGGTTCTGGCTGTAGTGGAGAGGGAAGGAGGGAGGATGGTCTGGCTGTAGTGGAGGGAGGGTGAGGATGGTCTGGCTGTAGTGGAGGGAGGGTGAGGGATGGTTCTGGCTGTAGTGGAGGGAGGGTGAGGATGGTCTGGTTGTGAGTGGAGGGAGGGTGAGAGGATGGTCTGGATGTAGTGGAGGGAGGGTGAGGGATGGTTCTGGCTGTAGGTGGGGAAGGGTGAGGATGGTCTGGATGTAGTGGAGGGAGGGTGGGGATGGTCTGGATGTAGTGGAGGAGGTGAGGGATGGTTCTGGCTGTAGTGGAGGGAGGTGAGGATGGTCTGGCTGTAGTGGAGGTAGGGTGAGGGATGGTTCTGGCTGGTGGAGGGAGGAGGAGGATGGTCTGGATGTAGTGGAGGGAGGGTGAGGGATGATGTTGTTGTAGTGGAGGGAAGGGTGAGGGATGGTTCTGGCTGTAGTGGAGGGAGGGGTGAGGATGGTCTGGATGTAGTGGAGGGAGGGTGAGGATGGTCTGGATGTAGTGGAGGGAGGGTGAGGATGGTTCTGGCTGTAGTGGAGGGAGGGTGAGAGGATGCTGGATGTAGTGGAGGGAGGGTGAGGATGGTCTGGATGTAGTGGAGGGAGGGTGAGGATGGTCTGGATGTGAGTGGAGGGTGTGGATGGTCTGGATGTAGTGGAGGGAGGGTGAGGGATGGTTCTGGCTGGAGTGGAGGAAGGAGGAGGATGGTCTGATGTAGTGGAGGGAGGGTGGGAGGATGGTCTGGCTGTAGTGGAGGGAAGGGTGAGGGATGGTTCTGGCGTGGTAGTGGAGGGAAGGGAGGGAGGATGGATGGCTGTAGTGGAGGGAGGGTGAGGATGGTCTGGCTGTAGTGGAGGAGGGGTGAGGATGGTTCTGGCTGTAGTGGAGGGAGGGTGAGGGATGGGTGCGTTTGTAGTGGAGGGAGGTGAGGATGGTCTGGATGTAGTGGAGGGAGGTGAGGGATGGTTCTGGCTGTAGTGGAGGGAAGGAGGAGGATGGTCTGGCTGTAGTGGAGGGAGGGTGAGGATGGTCTGGCTGTAGTGGAGGGAGGGTGAGGGATTGTTCTGGCTGTAGTGGAGGGAGGGTGAGGGATGGTTCTGGCTGTAGTGGAGGGAGGGTGAAGATGGTCTGGATGTAGTGGAGGGAGGGTGAGGGATGGTTCTGGCTGTAGTGGAGGGAGGGTGAGGATGGTTCTGGCTGTAGTGGAGGGAGGAGGAGATGGTCTGGCTGTAGTGGAGGGAGGAGGTGAGGATGGTTCTGGCTGTAGTGGAGGGAGGGGTGAGGATGGTCTGGTTGTAGTGGAGGGAGGAGGAGGATGGTTCTGGCTGTAGTGGAGGGAGGGTGAGGATGGTTCTGGCTGTAGTGGAGGAGGGAGGGTAAGGGATGGTCTGGATGGTGGAGGGAGGGTGAGGATGGTTCCGGCTGTAGTGGAGGAAGGGTGAGGGATGGTTCTGGCTGTAGTGGAGGGAGGAGGAGGATGGTCTGGCTGTAGTGGAGGAGGGTGAGGGATGGTTCTGGCTGTAGTGGAGGGAGGAGGAGGATGGTCTGGTTGTAGTGGAGCGGAGGGTGAGGGATGGTTCTGGCTGTGAGTGGAGGGAGGGTGAGGATGGTTCTGCTGCTGTAGTGGAGGGAGGTGAGGATGGTCTGATTGTAGTGGAGGGAGGGTGAGGATGGTCTGGTTGTAGTGGAGAGGAAGGGTGAGGATGGTCTGGATGTAGGTGGAGGAGGGTGAGGGATGGTTCTGGCTGGTGGAGGGAGGTGAGGGATGGTTCTGGCTGTAGTGGAGGGAGGAGTTGAGGGATGGTCTGGTTGTGAGTGGAGGGAGGGGTGAGGGATGGTCTGGTTGTAGTGGAGGGAAGGGTGAGGATGGTCTGGATGTAGTGGAGGGAGGTGAGGATGGTCTGGATGTAGTGGAGGGAGAGGGTGAGGGATGGTTCTGGCTGTAGTGGAGGGAGGAGGAGGATGGTCTGGATGTAGTGGAGGAGGGGTGAGGGATGAGATCTTGTTGTAGTGGAGGGAAGGGTGAGGATGGTTCTGGCTGTAGTGGAGGGGAGGGTGAGGGATGGTTCTGGTTGTAGTGGAGGGAAGGGTGAGGATGGTCTGGATGTAGTGGAGGGAGGGTGAGAGGGATGGTTCTGGCTGTGAGTGGAGGGAGGGTGAGGGATGGTCTGGTTGTAGTGGAGGGAGGGTGAGGGATGGTTCTGGCTGAGTGGGGGAGGGTGAGGGATGGTTCTGGCTGCAGTGGAGGGAGGGTGAGGATGGTCTGGTTGTAGTGGAGGGAGGTGAGGATGGTTCTGGCTGTAGTGGAGAGGAGGAGGGTGAGGGATGGTTCTGGCTGTAGTGGTGGGAAGGGTGAGGATGGTTCTGGCTGTAGTGGTGGGAAGGGTGAGGATGGTCTGGATGTAGTGGAGAGGGAGGGTGAGGGATGGCGCTGGCTAGTGGAGGGAGGGTGAGGATGGTCTGGATGTAGTGGAGGGAGGTGAGGATGGTCTGGATGTAGTGGAGGAAGGGTGAGAGGATGGTCTGGATGTAGTGGACGGGAGGGTGAGGATGGTCTGGATGTGAGTGGAGGGAGGGTGAGGATGGTCTGGATGTAGTGGAGGGTAGGGTGAGGGATGGTTCTGGCTGTGAGTGGAGGGAGGGTGAGGATGGTCTGGATGTGAGTGGACTGGAGGGTGAGGATGGTCTGGATGTAGTGGAGGGAGGGTGAGGATGGTCTGGATGTAGTGGAGGGAGGGGTGGGGATGGTTCTGTCTGTAGTGTTGGGAAGGGTGAGGATGGTGTGGGTGTAGTGGAGGGAGGGTGAGGGATGGCTCTGGCTGTAGTAGTGGGAAGGTGAGGGATGATCTGACTGTAGTGGAGGGGAGGGTGAAGGGGACTAGAGTCTGGCTGTGGGGGAGGTGGAGGGAGAGGAAGGGTGTGGCTGTAGTGGTAGGAAGGTCTGGCTGTAATGGTGGGAAGGTCCTGCTGTAGTGGTGGGAAGGTCTGGCTGTAGTGGTGGGAAGGTCTGGCTGCAGTGGTGGGAAGATCTGGCTGTAGTGGTGGGAAGGTCTGGCTGTAGTGGTGGGAAGGTCTGGCTGTAGTGGAGGGAGGGTCCGGCTGTAGTGGAGGGAGGGTCTGGTTGTAGTGGAGGGAGGGTCTGATTGCAGTGGAGGGGAGGGTGAGGGAGGGTTTGGCTGTAATGGTTGCAGTGTCTGGCAGTAGTGGAGGGAAGGTTTGGCCGTAGTGGAGGGGGGGTCCCGCTGTTGTGGAGGGAAGGTATGGATGTAGTGGAGGAAGGGTCTGCCCAAAATAAACACATCCCTAAAAGAAAATTCAGATCGATACGGAACCAACCAAAATGGATGAATAATAGACTCTTAGATCTTCTAGGGAAAAAGAAAGGAGTATATAGAAAAGTTAAGAAAGGCGAAAATCACTTACTTGGTTACTATCAGAACCTAACAAGACAGGTAAAAACAGAAATTAGGAAAGCAAAGAGAAATTATGAAATCAAGGTAGCAAAACGAATCGAAAAATAACCCCAAAGCTTTTTATCAACTGTATAACCAAAGGTTAAAAGATACAATAGGTCCCTAAAACTACGACAGGAGAAATGACTGATGATGAGTTAGAAATGTGTAGTAATGCTACGTCATTTTTGCCCAGACTACAAATGAAACCTAGTACAGTTTCAGAAGTTCATAAGGTATATAACGACAGTATAGAAAATATGTTGATGAATATCAATATTACTAGTAACGATGTGCTTAAAGTAATTAACAAACTGAAGCCTCATAAATCGCCTGGTCCAGACGAGGTATATGCTAGAATATTAAAGGAATGTAGAGATGAGTTGAGTAATCCATTAGCAGTTTTATTTAATAAGTCATTAGAATCGGGCCTAGTGCCAGAAGCTTGGAAACTTGCAAATGTAGTTCCGATTTTCAAAAAGGGTGATAAATCAATAGCATCAAATTACTGTCCCATTAGTCTCACGTCAATCATAGGCAAGTTGCTAGAGTCAATTATTGCTACAAAAAATCAGAAGCCATCTTTGAAACATCCAACTTAATTCATTCTTTCTCAGCACACGGGTTCACCCAGGGACGTTCTTGTCTCACAAATTTGCTTAGCTTTTTTCTCAGAAGTATATGAAGCGGTAGATAATGATAAGTCATATATTATAATTTATTTAGATTTGCAAGACATCTGATAGAGTCCTCTATGAGAGATTGATATGAAGGTAGAAGCAATATGAATAGGTGGATCAGTATTAAAATGGATTAGGTCATGGTTAACTGGTAGGAAACAAAGAGTCAGCATAAATGGATTAAAAGTCAGACTGGGGTGCGTAATAAAAGCGTAGTTCCTCAGGGATCTGCATTAGGCCCTCTGTTTGTTATATTCATTAATGATCTTGATTTAGGCATGTAACTAGTAGGATTAGTAAATTTGCAGATGATACCAAAATGGGGAGAGTGATAAATTCAGACAGTGACTTTGAACACCTTCAAAGAGATCTAGATACCCTTACATGAGTGGTCAGTAGACTGGCAAATGAATTTTAATACTGATAAATGCAAGGTACTACAGATAGGAAGACGAATACAAACGTTAAGTATAAACTAGGTAACACGGAAATAGAAAACTCAGTTTGTGAAAAAAGATCTAGGTGTATTTGTTAGCAACGACTTGAAACCTAGAAAACAATGTATTAGCGTTCGCACCAAGGCAAACAGGATTCTTGGGTTCATATCTAGGTTGAGTAACAGAACTGCTGACGTTATCTTGAAACTTTACCTAGCATTAGTGAGGCCACACATGGATTATGCGGTTCATAGTTCTGGTGTCCTTATTATAGAATGGACATAGATTCTTTGGAGAGAGTACAAAGAAGAATGACAAAAATGATCCATAATATTAGAAACCTTCCATATGAAGAAAGACTGAAAAGCTTAGGCTTACATTCATTAGGAGAGGCGTAGAGTTAGGGGAGATATGATAGAGGTGTACAAGTGGGTAAGTGGGATTAACAAGGGTAAAATGGAAGATGTTCTGAAGCTCAGTAATAACGAAATAACTAGAACAAATGGCTTTAAATTAGATAAATTCCGATTCAGAAAGGATATAGGCAAGCACTGGTTTGGTAATAGAGTTGTGGATATGTGGAATAGACTACCGAGTGCTATAGTAGGATCGGGGACGCTAGGGAGCTTCAAGACGAAGTTGGATAGGCACATGGAAGTGCTGGGATGGGTGTGAAAGGGATCTGCCCTGTATGGGCCAGTCGGCCTCCTGCAGTATCCCACTTTCTTATGTTCTTAAGAGAAGATGCCCACCACACACAACCAAGAACACCACGTGGCCCGTGGAGCTGAAGCCCACGTGGTCAACCTCACCGTCTCTGACTTCATCCACACCTATGAGGACTTAATACACGAGGAAGACGAACACCAAGACCCAAACACAAACGAATGGACACTTCAAGAGAGCAAGAAGAGGAGGAGAGTGAGAAGAAAATCGACATCAAGCTAAGAAGACCAAGACATCTCCTCCACACAAGAAACCAACACACTCAATCAAGCCGCCCAAGCACTGTATATCCATTGCCGAACCCAACATGCACCTGACGCTTGACCTGACGCTAGCCTGGCTGTGTCTTGTCGCCTCCCGGCCGCGTCCAGGCGAGTTGCTGCTGCCTCCATCTTATAATCCCTCACGCAAGCGGTGTTTAGCCACTGCATCTGTTCTCTCCTCCTAAAATTCACTTCAATCCTCCCTTTATTCTTCCCCTGAACCTCCTTCCCCCCTGTCACTAGCATTTTTCGATTTCGATTCGCGCTGATTGGCTGGTAGGCGCGCGGCCGGAGCTCAGTTGGGAGTTGTAGGGGAGAGGAGCCACTACAGTATCACTTCTCACTGCCACGCAGGACGGAGGTTCAGGCCAAGGTCACGGTCAACATTTTCTTTCTTACATGCCTCATTGGCCAGTCTATCAGCACGGTCATGATATCTGATTCCAACATGGGACGGAATCCACACAAATTCGATACGAAAGGGGAGAGGGGAGTAGGGGAGAGGAAGTAGAGGAGAGGGAGTAGGGGAGATGGGAGTAGGGGAGAGGGAAGAGGGGAGAGGGAGAGGAGAGGGAGAAGGGAGAGTGCCTTGAAAACTCATTGCCAGAGGCTGCGAGAATTAACAATTCATTATACAACACTACCAGGGCGAGGAGATTTATTTGCTTTTGACATTATTTACGGAATCGCTAATGCTAATTTATTGTAAACTTATGAAAAATGTATAAAATTCATATCTAATATTTATCAAAATATTTTTACAAGAACTGCAGAGTCTGTCAGCCTCTGGCAGTGCTGTTCAATGCCCACCGAGCACATCCGAACATTAGCAGTATTAATCTTGTCTTTTCTCTTGCAGAGGTTAATCCACTGTATTTTAGTTTTTCATCTTTAAGAAATGTATGAAAGTGCATACTTTCCTCTCGTTTGAACAAATAATTACACCCAAACACTACACAATTAATGGGCATTATGTAACAACTTCAAACATAGGTTGGTTGGTTATATGAGCGATAGGGGTTGGGTTTAAATGGGACTGACCAGTATGGGCCAATAGGTCCGCTGCAGTTTCCTCTATTCTTATGTTCTGATGTTATTATGTTAACAAGGCATTACGTCCAAATGGACGGTCTTTTTAGCACCACGCGAAACACTTTTTTGCTCCTCAAAAATGATGTACGCACGTCAGTAATTTTTACCATTGTTTTCTATTATATAATGTGGCTAATAAACATATCAATGGCCTTAGATTATATATAATGAGACGATTGTCCTCCCAGTAACCTACTGTATGTTTAAATATATAGTTCGCCTTGACATCAAAGTATAGAAATAACTTATTTAAACAATACTCACACTATTATAATAAGTATTAACTTATTATACAAATATGAATATTGTATTTCATAACTGTAATGAGAGATTTGGTTATGTCTGTCTATTTTTATATTAATTGTCTCCATATACAGTATATTTTTTAGTCATATTTATTATGCCAACATCTCTTTCTCTCAGCTGTTCGGGGATGCGTCGGTGGCTCAGAGTGTGTTGACCAACAAGGCAAATGGAGACTTCTTCTCCATCAACTGGGGTTGGGGCCTGGCGGTGACCCTGGCCGTCCTGGTGAGTGGTGGAGTCAGTGGAGGTCACGTCAACCCGGCGGTCACCCTGGCCATGGCTGTATGGGGGAAGCACCCGTGGGGGAAGGTGCCAATCTACATGGTGGCGCAGTATATGGGGGCCCTCCTAGCCTCCGCCCTCCTCTACGGCGTCTACCTCAGTGAGTACCTTTACCTTAGTGCATGAATATGAAAAAAAGTGGAAAATACAAACCAATACACAGAAACTAAAGATCATACACCTTGCCAAATAAACCCAGCACCAATCACAGCCAACAACGTACCTATACAATACTCCAACGAAGGCAAAATTCTGGGACTCAATAACAAGAACAGGCATAGCAAAACACATAACACAACGCAAAACGCTTGCCCAATCACAACTCACAAAACTACGAAGATATAGCAAAATTGACACCAAAATTCAACTACACTTATTCAAAGCAATTGTCCGCCCCCAACTGGAATATCCACCAATACCAATCAGCACGATCAGCAAAGCCAGCCAACTTAAACTTCAATCAGTACAAAACAAAGCTATCCGTAGAGCATCAAAGCAACTCCCCCCATACACCACCAATATACAAGAACTTCACGAATTATACAATATCGAACCACTGAACACACGTACACACAGCCAAGCCCAGAGAATCTGGAGCAAACTTGAAGAGTTGGAGGACCCAATGTTCTCCCTGTTAAAAGAAGAAGTAACTACTAAAACACATAGCTGGTGGCCCAAGAGCCTCCACGCTAACATAGAAGAACAAGAACCACTTTACACATATATGTGAATAAATAACACCACCATTTAACAAACATAAGTTAACACCCATCACACTAATGAATGCCTAGCTAGCATAGCTCCCAGCCCCACCCCCCACGTGCCTCCCTTGAGCGGGCAGGCGTCTGCTGTGTGTGGCCACCCCAACATATCAACTCGTCTCAACTAGGTGGACAGCCCACCTGCTATCACCCCCTACTACTTTACTCCCCCATTTCTATGCTTTCCTTCTCTCCCTCCTCTCCTCTCCCAGGGCAAAGTCATTTGCCACTTTACTTCATTGTCATCATCATCATCATCATCAATGAATACCTCTACTTCTATTAGTACCTCCAACAGTATCCTTACCTCCATCAGTACCTGTACCTCCATGAGCGCTTCTTTCTCCATCAATACCTCTACCTCCATCAGTACATCTACCTCTATCAATACCTCTACCTCCATCAATACCTCTACCTCCATCAATACTTCTACCTTCAGCAGTACTTCTAGCTCCATCAATAATTCTAGCTCCATCAGTACCTCTACCTCCATCAGTACCTCTACCTCCATCAGTACCTCTACCTCCATCAATACTTCTACCTCCATCAGTATCTTTACCTCCATCAATACTTCTACCTCCATCAGTACCTCTACCTCCATCAATACATCTATCTCCGTCAGTAGCTCTACCTCCATAAGTACTTCTACCTCCATCAGTACCTCTACCTCCATCAATACTTCTACCTCCATCAGTACCTCTACCTCCATCAATACTTCTACCTCCATCAGTACCTCTACCTCCATCAATACATCTATCTCCGTCAGTAGCTCTACCTCCATAAGTACTTCTACCTCCATCAGTACCTCTACCTCCATCAATACTTCTACCTCCATCAGTGTACTCTAGTACTTCTACCTCCATCAACGTCAGTACCTCTACCTCCATCAATACTTCTACCTCCATCAGTACCTCTCCCTCAATCAGTACTTCTACCTCCATCAGCACCTCTACCTCCATCAGTACCTCTACCTCCATCAGTACTTCTACCTCCGTCAGTACCTCTACCTCCATCAGTACTTCTATCTCCGTCAGTACCTCTACCTCCATCAATACTTCTACCTCCATCAGTACCTCTACCTACACCAATACTTCTACATCCGTCAGTACCTCTACCTCCATCAATACTTCTACCTCCATCAGTACCTGTACCTCCATCAATACTTCTATCTCCGTCAGTACCTCTACCTCCATCAGTACTTCTACCTCCATCAGTACTTCTACCTCCATCAGTACTTCTACCTCCCTCAGTACCTCCACCTCCATCAGTACTTCTACCTCCACCAATACTTCTACCTCCGTCAGTACCTCTACCTCCATCAATACTTCTACCTCTGTCAATACCTCTAACTCCATCAATAACTCTACCTCCATCAATACCTCTACCTCCATCAATATTTCTACCTACATCAATACTTCTACCTCCATCAGTACCTCTACCTCCATCAATACTTCTACCTCTATCAGTACGTCTACCTCCATCAATACTTCTACCTCCGTCAGTACCTCTACCTCCATCAATACTTCTACCTCCATCAGTACCTCTACCTCCATCAATACTTCTACCTCTATCAGTACGTCTACCTCCATCAATACTTCTACCTCCGTCAGTACCTCTACCTCCATCAATACTTCTACCTCCACAGCTTGTGGAGTGTTTCCCCGGTAATGTCGACGTGTATGTAGTATATTAGAATTAAAGTCACGCGCATCTTCGATGTCCGCGTATAGGGGGAATCGTTTCACTAGGATGTGGCAACATTCATCAGCTTCTGCTGGGGAGGGGGGCAGGGTGATAGGGTCCGTGGCATTGCTGTTTCCACTGTGGCTAGTGTTTCCCATAGAAACATTACCGTCACTGTCATAATCACTGGGGTCTGACTCTTGAAGGGTGTTGGATTCAGTCAAGACCTGCTGTGTTTTATTCCCAGTTGAATTTTTTCTGCTTTCTTCTGTGTGTGTCGTCCTTTTCTTCCTATCATTCATGATCTCATCACTGTCACTTCCTTCACTCTTCTTCGCCGACTAACGCCTCCTCTTCTTTTCTTTCTTACTAATCACCTCTTGAAAATTGTCTACCACTTCTATTGTTATTGGCCGCAGATCGTCTGCTTCTGATTCGTTATTTGAAAGCCTCAGGTCGTCTTCTAAGTTGTTCAGTTGGGCAATCTTTTCTTCTTTAGCCAAATTCTTCATAGGTTTCTGTCCACCACTCTCCCCAGGCATTGTGCAATGCTTGTGTTCGGTCACAGGTGAGTTTATTCAAAATTGTTGGGATTACTTTTTCTGACGAGAAAGATATTTAGTTAAATTATATAAAGATACATACATTCATTAGCTCAAACATGTTGTTTTTGCATAATGTAGTATTACTGATACGTAATTTGTCTTACTATGCCTTATTGTGGGTAAAATTAAGTATATATTAAATGCATCCTCCGAAAGCGTGAATTTGCTACCAGAATTTAACAGTTAATTTATCTATAAACTTCCTACGTGCTTATGATTGGAATAATGAATGTATGTATCTTTTTATTATTTAGCTAAATATCTTTCTCGTCAGAAATGGTCATCCAAACTATTATGAATAAACTCATTTAGAAATACATCATTACTTCAGGACAAAATCGGGCAGGTTTGCAACAACCAATCACCTGTAAATTTTGAGGAGGGGGAGGGGCATCTTTTCTCAGCTGGGAAAAATGCGCTATAGTGTGTGGTGTTGCCATCTCCTTCAACAAGGGAAGTTAGTTTCAGGGAGCTTGGTAAACCTCCAATCTGGCTGAACTTATGCAAATCATCAGCAAGACTTGTGTATCCTACACTAACGTCTTGACGTTTAGATTCATCAGGACATACTAGCTTGTTGTTCTTGGAATCTTGGCAGAAGATGCACAGTGACCAGTTTATGAGATTTTTATTCTTGTTGCTTGTGGTGGGACTTACCAGGGGACGCTCCTCATCAAGTAAACACGTAGCAGCCATAGTTCCTGCAATGCAGAAATTAAGACAGTCAACCAAAACTACCTGCACATCTGTCTTCAGTACTTTGAAAATTACTTAAGCAGATAAAGAGGCATAATATATAACTGTGTTTTGAAGAAAGACCATATAAGGGATTAAAAATTTAGTTCAGGAAAAAATCTAAAATTTCTAAGTACAAACAAACAAACAAACAAACAAGCACTTTGGTCTCACAAAACTTTATATAGAATAGTAATTTTTTGTAAGGTCACGATACATAACATATTCAAATTTCAGCATGTTTGGACCAAAAATAAGGGAGGCGTTGCAGTTAGAAGAATGGCTTGGGAGGCACTACCGCTTTCAGCCGCTGGGGGCGCTGCAGGCAACCAGGGGACGCTGTTCAGTTGGCACTATGTCTCATAATTCTATACAAAAGTGAACAATTTTCTTGCTTATTCGCCCCACTATTATCTTTTACAACATCCATGTCCTCATTAGCAGAGAATATTGCTGTGAAATGCAGGGTGTTCCACAATTCTGCTTATCAATCTAAGACAAAATATAATCTAAAGCTATTCATCTCATCAAAGACCAGCCCTCTACTTATTCCATACCTCCCTTCCATATCAGAAGTTCCAGCATCTTAATATCACTTTTTTTTTATCACAACTCACATAGTCAGTGTGCCAGAATATTCCAGAGTGTCACTCGCCCATTATATTTAATCTTAGTCTCAATACAAATTAATCGCTATTACGGTATTTTACTTTAAGTAAGATTCCCATTAATAAGACTTTACCACCGTTTACCTCCACCATTCCTTGCGCTACTCAGCTATGGAATTCCCTTTCCTCTCTCATCTTTCCAAAAAGCTACATTTCTTTATGTGTTGGGCATCTACCCACCACGCTTCACACAACTTACAGTAGTATATACCTTCAACTTCCTTATCCACGATGTACTAAGAAGTGTATAATAAATATAGACAACATTGTCATAAGCACTGATCTTCAAATGACCGGCTGTCAGGTGTCCCTCCTTTTGTTCAGTGAAATGTTAAAAACGGAAATCTCCATAGAGACAATGTAATCATGTTAGTGTTTACTTTTACCTTTATCCTCTTCATTACTGATCGTTTCGTTGGCTGCTTGGGCGGTCGGTCACGTCTCTGTTACGCGCTGTTGGGAAGTACTGGGCATGCACTGGTTCCTGAATGTATCTGAATCTGCTCCAGCGTTGGTCAAGTCTGGTCTTGAAACAGCTCACACTCGCTACCATAACAACACTCTCTGGCAGGTTTTTCCAAGAGTTCACAACTCTCACTTCGAAAAAGTTCGCCGCCACAGTTTTCTGGACTTGCGGCTTCTTCAACCTTGAGCTGTGACCCCTTGTGGGGCGGGCGTCCGCCAGCTCCAGGTATGGATACTCGACTGAGTAGTGCCCTTTGAGATGTTTATACACCTCAATTAGGTCACCCCTCGCCCGTCTGTATGCTAGACAGTTACAGGTGCTCTAATCTCTCTGGATAGCTGAGGTGCCGAAGTGCAGGCACCAGTCTGGTGGCCCTCTTTCGAAGATTTTCAATCATTAGACAGTCCCTAGCATATCTCGGTGAACAGACGGGGTGACAATACTTGCTTGATTCATCCTCACAATGGTCCGAGAACTTCAGTTCATTGCCAACATACACATCCAGGTTCTTTCCGCACTCAGTCTCTATTAATGCAGGTTCTTCGTCCCGTTGGGACATATAATAAGCCACCTTACCGTTGGTGCGTCCCAGGTACATCCTCTTACACTTCGTTACATTGAATCTTAGCAGCCATTTCTAACACCATTCTTGAAGATCACAGGTGAAAGTTACTAGTGTCCCCCAAAGAATGCAGTGATGGGTAGGGAAACACTGTGTAACTCTGAAGTCCGTTTATTATGGATGAGAGAAATACAAGTGGTGACCCGCCTGTGCCATGCACGGCTCACACAGTCAGACTAAGGCTGCCTTGCCATATGGCAGCCTCGGGGTAATGTTGCCACATAACACGTGCAGTGTTGCCACGTGATTATATATATACTAAATGCTACTCGGCACAGTAGCTTATGTACAGGGTTGCTACTCGGCACAGTAGCTTATGCACAGGGTTGCTACTCGGCACAGTAGCTTAGATACATAACCTACAACAGGGAGCTTTCTGCATTTCTTCACAGTCTGTTTGGTTCTTAATTTCCCTGAACATCTTGGCATTGTCCACAAACATTTGTATGGAGGAGTGTATAGCTTCCTGCATGTCATTTATGAAACAAACAAACAACAACTGGCCAAATACACTGCCCTGAGGTATCCTGCTTGTCACGGGTACACATAACGATTTCGTACCATTGATCTCCACACACTGTTTGCGATCATAAAGTCTCAGATCCACGCTAGGACATTTCCCCGAATCCCGTGCCCTTCCAATTTAATTTTCACCTTTTCATGGGGTACGCTGTTAAAAGCCTTGGCAAAATCTAGGTATATGTCGATATCGCCACCCTGTTCAAGAATTTGGGTCCAAACATCTAGTACCTTGAGTAATTGTGTTAACCAGGAGAGTCCCGGCATAAAACCGTGTTGGCAATCCTTTACATCAGATGTGATGACTATTAGTCAGTTCGCCTTTCTTTATAGTCTGCATTAATATTTATAACCTTCTCTTCTCTGCTACCCCTCTTGACAGATGCACTTGACGGGTTCGACCCAGAGCGGACCATGGCCACGGCTGGCATATGGGCTACCTACCCAGGGGCCATCAACGTCAACGGTACTGTCGTCAATGACTTCCTTTCCAACGGCAATGGCTTCGGCGACCAGGCAGGTCTCCTGTCTTCTGTTGCTTTGTAGTTATTATCGAACTTCATAGTTTGTATCTATTCTCGTGTTCACTGTTGGCTCAGGAAAATAATCTTGCTCACAATTATAATTAGTTTGTAGTTTAAGTATTCAGTGACTTTTCTGAGCAGAGTAATGGCACACTCACTAATACTGTAGTATCTAACTTTTTGGAACTTTTCTTCGTTTCCTATATTTAGTGAATACTTTTGTAAGTAACTTTTTATTTTTATTTTTTATATCGATCAGTGCTTCATCTTCCTTTGATACTTTTTCATTCATAAAGTGTGACTGCATGGGTTACCTCCTCAGGAAGCTCTCATATCTATTCTTCAGGCAGTGTCCTCTCTTCTGTTTCTCCTCACCTATACCCTTTACCAGCCACCTCTTACGCCTTGACAACATCTTTGGTATAATGGTTTCATCTTTTAGAATTACGATGATATGAATTTTTCTGTAATAAGTCTGTAGCATGTTGTGACGCAACAATTATCTCCATCCGTACTTCTTACTAAAAACAATCCCTTTTTTTCTTCATTAGTTCTTTTATATTTTTACTTGAGATCTTCGTTTTGTAAAAAATCTTCATTTATGTCCCTGAATGCATTAAATATATTCTTCAATTTAATTAAAAATTTGGCTAAATTCCCCTTTTATACTTTCTAAATCAGTTCAAGGCTCACTATTCATATCTTTAATTCATTACTTACCCCTTTCATTAATTTTCATCTGTATCCCTTATTATTGATCCATTTCTTTTATCCATTTATGTCTATAATATTCATCTGAATAGTCTAATCACTTATTTAACCTTATTACCTCACCCCCCCGGCATGCAGGTGGTTGGCACTATGTTGCTGCTGGTGTGTGTGTGTGCCATCACTGACCCCCGCAACATGGAGGTGCCCAAGTACCTGGTGCCACTGTTCGTCGGTTTCACCGTCCTCAACATCGGCATCTGCTTCGGCTTCAACTGCGGCTACGCTATTAATCCCGCCCGAGACCTGGCACCTAGACTCTTTACTTTACTGGCTGGCTGGGGGGAGACACCCTTCACGTAAGTGTGTGTGTGTGTGTGGAGGGGAGAGAAAGAGAAAAGGAGAGAGAGAGTGTGTGTGTATGAGTTTTTCGGGACCATTTACTTATAGCTGATTGGGGGAGACGCCTTTCACGTGTGTGTGTGTGTGTGTGTGTGTGTGTGTGATAATAATAATAATAATAATAATAATAATAATAATAATAATAATGATAATAATAATAATAATAATTAACGGTTTATTGAAAAAGTCGCAGCCCGAAGGCTGAAAATATACATTCGACAAAAGCGACTTATTACATACAAAGACATGGGGTGGGTGGGTCGTTTAACAAAAGCTTTCATTACTGAAAGGAGAAGGAACAATGATTGAACATACAAATTATTATAGTTTACAGTTGATGGCCCGGGCCTGGGCTGGTCATAAGAAACATAAGACATAAAAATGGAGGAAACTGCAGCGGGCCTATTGACCCATACTGGGAAGTCCCGTTTACACCCAACCCCTATTGCTCATATAAGCATCCAACCTGTGTTTGAAGCTATCCAGCGTATTCGAGTTAATGATGATATTTGGTAACTTGTTCCATTCATCCACTACTCTGTTTCCAAACCAGTGTTTACCTATTTCACGCCGAAATCTAAATTTGTCTAATATAAACCATGGTTACGAGTTTGCTCCGGGTTGGATAGTTTGAGTACCTTTGTAATGTCCCTTTGTTTAACCCTGACTTCCATTTATACACCTCTATCATGTCGCCCCTCACTCTACGTCTCTCGAGGAAGTGCAAATTAAGATGCTTTAACCTGTCTCTATACTCAAGGTTCTTAATGCCCGGGATTAGTCTTGTCATTCTCCCCTGGATTCTTTCCAAGGATTCTATATCCATTCTGTAATACGGTGACCAGAACTGAACTGCGTAATCCAGGTGAGGTCTCACAAGCACTAGATATAATTTTAAGATGACCTCGCTAGTCTTGTAACTAACACTCCTTTGTATGAACCCAAGTACTTTATTAGCCTTGTTACGAGCAAAAACACATTGTTTACTTGGCTTAAGATTCCTACTTATCATTACTCCTATATCTCTCTCGCAGTCGGATTCCACAATGGCATCGTTGTTCATCTGATAACTGGTTTTCCTGTTTACATCTTCTATACTGAGTACTTTACATTTGTCCACATTGAATTTCATCTGCCATTTTTCCTACCATTCGAAAAATTTGTTTAGATCTTCCTGTAGTTTTGCAGAGTCCTCGTCAGATTTAATTACACGTCCTATTTTAGTGTCATCAGCAAGTTTACTTATGTTGCTGTCTATGCCGATATCTATGTCGTTTATGTATATAATAAATAATAATGGTCCAAGTACTGAGCCTTGGGGAACTCCACTAGTGACGTTGCTCCTATGCCATTTAGTGCCTCTTATGCTCACTCGCTGTTTCCTGTCCCTTAACCACGCCCCAATCCATTTAAGGATATTACCTTTGATGCCATGCGCTTCTACCTTTCTAATTAGTTTTTCGTGGGGGACTCTGTCGAAGGCTTTGCTAAAGTCGAGATATACCACATCATAATTGTGCCCCTCGTCCACCGATTCGAAAACTGATGACAAGAATGTTAATAGATTAGTTAGACATGAATGCCCGCTTGCGAAGCCATTTTGGGAATCAATGATCAACTTGTGCTTCTCCAGGTGGTTTCGAATAGAGTTTGAAATGATTGATTCTAGTAATTTGCCTACTATTGATGTTAGACTGATTGGGCGGTAGTTAGAGGATAATGATCTATCCCTCTTCATGAAAATCGGTATTACATTCGCTATCCTCCAGGATTCTGGTACTACACCTGTTTTTAATGACATGTTAAACAACTTTGCTAAGGGCATACTAAGCTCTTCCTTACATTCCTTTAATACTCTGGCAAATATCTCATCGGGACCAGGTGACTTATTAGGCTTCAGTTTGTCTATTTGCTTATTAGCATCATTACTAGTCACTACTATCTCGCTTAATTTGTTTTCTTCACTATCTCTGAATAGAGTCGGTGCCTCGGGTATCATGTTTAAATTTTCTGTGGTGAAAACTGTTGAAAAATATTTATTCAGATTATTGCTCATTTCTCCGTCGTTATCAGTTACCTCGCTGGTATCTGAACGTATCTGTCCAATCTTATCTCGTGTTTTAGTTTGATGCATTTGGTAGAATCCTTTGGGGTTTGTCTTCGCCTCCCTTGCTATCTTCAGTTCATCATTCCTCTTTGCTTTTCTTATCTCGGTCTTAACCCTACCGGCCAATACCTTCTAATACTCCCGGAAGTAAATTTCGCCATGGATTATCCTTCTACCTATAACCTTCCTTTGGCCAATATGTCTTATGTCTTATGTTGATGGCCCGGGCCTGGGCTGGTCATGGAGACAACAGGTGATGTGGTGTTCACGTGGTGGAGTAACTCATCGTCGGGTGTTGATATGAAGGACCTAACGTGGTCATGGAGACACCAGGTGGTGTGGTGTTCACGTGGTGCAGTAACTCGTCCTCGGATGTTGATATGAAGGACCTCACGTGGTCATGGAGATACCAGCTAGTGTGGTGTTCACGTGGTGTAGTAACTCGTCCTCGGGTGTTGAAATGAAAGACCTCACGTGGTCATGGAGACACTGGGTGGTGTGGTGTTCACTTGTTGCAGTAACTCGTCCTCGGGTGTTGACATGAAGGACCTCACGTGGTCATGATTTTGATTTTGATTTTGCCGCTTGCAGCGGCTACTTTATTGTGCACCCCACACTCATCCTGTGAGCGGTAGCGCAAAAGGATTACAGAGTAGGGTTTACAAAGGGTCATAATAATTAACCCCCGTTGTCAGTATATTATGGCACTGAATGTTACACATTATTTCATTTACATTATTTGTTTAGTTCTATACATAAAGGGTAACTTATTCACAAATGCGTGAGTACAGGCGTGTGAGGCAGTATGTCTGGCCTCACACTTTGTTATTCACCTTTACGTGGGAGGTATTCAAGCACATTGCGTATTTGGTTCTGTACATGAGAATTGATATAGTTACTAAGTGCAAAAAAGTGGATACAATCTTAATATGTCGGCTATCTTGCCATTAGAGATGAAGTGTTGTGCCATTTCACACACAGTGTGCTTGGACCTGTCCCTAAAAGGTTCTATCTTCACACAGTCGAGGACGTAGTGTTCAAGTGTGTGGCCATATGTATGGTCACACACTTTACATTTAGTTTTGTTTACATCTGCTTGAGGTACATACTGCCAAAGGTACTTATATCCTAACCTTTCTCTAGCGGTTACAACATCTTGTAATCTAGTGATCTTGTTACTTGCTCCATATACTGTACATGTTTCACTTGATACATCTCATCATGGTAACCTATGAATCGACGAGTGCCTGTTTGCACTTGTCTACTTGCGTCAAACTCATCAATAAGTTCTTTCCTAATTACAGTTTTAAGGGTTCTTTTTGACAGACCCAAATTGTATTCAACGGTGTCTTTGTTAGACGCGAGTTTGGCGAGGGCATCAACTCTGTCATGTTTTATGAGGCCTATGTGAGAGGGGATCCACAACAGTTTGACCCTGACACCCCGGTCAACAAGGCACGCATATTTGTGTCTGGCTTCAGAGACAAGAGCGTGACAACCTGAATCGAGGGTGCCAAGGGCAAGTAGTGAGGATAGAGAGTCAGTGATGATGAGACTGTCAGTAACAGTGGTTTCAATGAATTTAATAGCTGTGAGTATGGCAACTAATTCAGTTTGTAGAGTGGATGCCCAGTTGTTAATTCTAACTCCTTTCTCAATTATATTACCGTCAGGTTGAGTCACAACAATAGCACTTCCAGCCCTTTCTTCAAGAGCTCTCAATTTGGCAGTGTGTTGGAGATAAATGCTTTGTATAATTAATTTTTTAGGCGGATACGTCGGTATTGTGATATCGAAGGGAACTGTCCGCCAGGGTGGCAGGAAGCGCTGTTGTGTCTCAACTTTGTACAGGTGGTCTAGTCCAAACATCTTCATATGTGTAGCTGTAGTTTGGATCCATTTAGACTCAGTAGTCCCATGGTTCATACATTCTAGCAATTTTAAGGAAACAATGTTATCAGGATCACCACGCAGAAGCCTCAGGGCTATCATGAGGGGACACTGGGTGGTGTGGGGTGGTGTCATAGTACCTCGCCCTGCTGGGTGGTGTTGTGTTATCTCGTAGTCAGGTGCATAGCCGGCCGGCCATCTTTGTTCCCATGGTGGACTGATTAGCACCTCCTTGTTAGAAGATGGCGGTCAGTTCCCAGGGGTGCTTATCTCACTGGTGGGTCACGGCTCTCACTGGTGCTGTCTTGTGCTGAATTCACTGGCTTAAACACTGCTCATCAATGTTCAACACTGGTCCCACTTCTTTCCGAAAGGAAATTGTCACTTTCGATTATGTTGAAATCCCGGTGATGAGGGTGGGTCGGGGAGAGGGACTTGGAGAATGGGCCGAAATTGGCCAAGGGGGGGCCGCTGCTCAGCAGGAGCAGTGCCTGAAAAGGTCTCGACCCTACGGTGGTCAAGGATGTGTGTGTGTGTGTGTGTGTGTGTGTGTGTGTGCAGAGAACAGCATCGAAACCTGTACATGGCATTCATCGACCTAACCAAGGCCTTTGACTCGGTCAACAGGGAAGCCCTCTGGCTGACCCTCAGCCGGTTTGGCTGCCCACCAAAATTCATCGCTTTAGTGAGGCAACTCTAAGATGGCATGAACAGCAGTGTCCTGCATAATGACACCCAGTCTGAGTTCTTACCCATCCAAACGAGGGTAAAACAAGGATGCGTACTGGCGCCAACTCTCTTTTTCATTTTCTTGGCTGTCTTCCTTACTCGTGCCAGTGCCAATTTAGCTGGCGGGGTGGACATAGAGTATCGGGTGAAGGATCTTTTCAAAATAGGACGACTCCAGGCAGGAACAAAGGTGTCGTCAACTTTCATTACTGAACTTCAGTATGCAGACGA